ATGTTAAATATAATCAAAAATTTTGCAAATAAAGTGAAAGTTATGGTTTGGCTAGAAAAGCCCGGCGAGCGAAGCGAGCCAAATGAAATTGCATCATCATAATAAATCACATGAATATTTAATACACAATCACATGATCTACCAGTAATTTTTCCACCAGTTAAAATTTAGAAATTCTCTTTAAATCTTAAAAACTATTTATCATAATAATTATGATACTGTATGGTAGTATAAACCAACTTAATTAAAAAAAAAGTCAGAATTATTACAGTTCTAATTATACTATGACTATAGCTCCCTGCCATGTTTAATGTTAACTTGTTAAATATTATAATATAATCCTTTGTGTTAGGATCTTGAGATATACCATATATTTTAACCTTATTATAATAAGCTATAGTCTATTAAAATGAATGTCAATATATTATAATGTACTTGAACTTGAAATTTAATGAAATTTATAGAAAATTTACGTACCTCCTTTAAAGATTCATTAGTAATATTTTGTGAATTAACTAAGTATTTTAAAATAACTGCTTCACTTTCTGAATTTCTTTTATATTGATTTTTATAATAATTACATAATAATGGACCATCCTTCCATTTTGCTGAATATGTTTTATTGCTTAATTCTTTAATATCACTAAACTGAAAATATGGTATCCATTCAAATAGTGCATCATCATAATCATTAATTTTTATTTGCATTTCTTGAATTAATTTATCGATCTGTTCATTTTTGCTGGTCCGGTTTGTATAATATTTCCTTAAATAATTTTTTTGACATACTTTACACCATTTATTCCATAAATTTGTATATTTATTACCACATTTTCTGCAAAAAACTTCAAAATATTGATCTAGGTTAAGAACTATAATGTAATTCTTCATAATAGGATTTTGTGATATTCCATATATTTTATATATTTGAAATTTATTATAATATTCTATAGTCTATTAAAAAATATGTTAATAATAAAAAAAAAATTGAAATTAAGTTTATCCAACATTCACATACCTCATTTAAAAATTCGTTAGTAATATTTTTAATTAAATATTTTAAAATAACTGTTTTATTTGCTGAATTTCTTGTATATTCGATTTTATAAGCGTGATCATATGTTAATGGACCATCCTTCCATCTTGCTGAATATGTTGTACTGTTTAATTCTTTAATATCATTAAACTGATTATATTGTATCCATTCAATTATCGTATCGTTATAATCATTAATTTTTAATTGCATTTGCTGAATAAAGTTATTAATCTGTTTGTTTTCAATAGTACAAGTTGTGAAATATTCTTTTAACCAATTTATTTGACATGATTTGCACCATTTAACATCTGTATATTTATTAGTACATTTATTGCAAAAATATTCAAAATACTGATCACTATTAAAAACTATAATATAATCCTTTGTATTCGGATTTTGAGATATACCACATATTGCAGCTTTATCATAATATACTCTACCCTATTAAAAAAAGAAAAATTTAATAAAAATAATTGAAGTTAAATTTACAGAAAATTTACATACCTCATCTAGAAATTCATTGGTGATATCTTGTGAATTAACTAAATATTTTAAAGTAACCGATTTATTTTCTAGATTCCTAGTATATCTTTCTTTATTCCAAACCAATGGACCATCCTTCCATCTTGCTGAATATGTTTTATTGCTGAATTCTTTAATATCACTAAACTGAAAATATGGTATCCATTCAAATATTACGTCTTTGTAATCATTAATATTTAATTGCATTTTTTGAATTAATTTATCAATTTGTTTATTCATTTTGACATATAAATAATTATATGAATAAGATTTCCAAAAAAAATGCAAGTGCTAATACAATAAATGAATTTCGGCTTTTATTGTCATTTCGTATAACATGACATTAATGAAGTTTGATATATGTAACATCTCACGAATTTGCCGATCATTTGCCGATCATTATTGATGACTTTTACATAAAAATTCTACAGATCACGCAAGATAAAATTATTACAGAAATATGATATATATACATATATTTTTGCAAAAATCGAACAACTTACTGATGATTTGGCATTGTTTATTAAATTTCATACCATTAATTTCGCAGAAAAAATTTATTAAATTTCATTATTTTGTAGAAATTTAATGGCGTAATATTTTACGCCTCATAACCAAAAAAAGAAAAATATTTTACGTTTTTTTTTTTAATTATACAAATTTGATTGTCATATTTAATGAATAGATCGTTAAATTTAATAAATTTTGTGACACAATTTGTATATTTATTTGTGGCACAATTTATATATTGATTTGTGGCACAATTTGTATATTGATTTGTGACACAACTTACATATTCAGTAAAAAACAGACAATAACTTTTCCCTATTTGGTAATTTGTTGTACTCTTTAAAATACTGTATTACAATTTTTTTTATATTTTTTAAAATAAAGTGACCCATAAACTCCCGGGTAAACGATCAACAAAACACTTGCAACGTATACTCTTTTTTGGTTGTGATCAACATGAAAACTTTGCGAATTTAATATCTTGATTATTGGATTTAGGAATAAGAATAATGAATCCTAAATCTAAAAGTTTAACGCCCACCCCACCCCATTCCTTGTGAATGGGAAACATTTATATATTTTTTCATGAATCAAAAAAAAAATTTTTAATCTATGTTACGCAAAATTTCAGATGATGTGTGGTTTAAATAACAAATAAAAATAATAAATAAATCATGCTTCTGAAAAAAAATTCCAAAATAGATTTTTTTCACAACCTCCTTTATTTTATTATCAATATTATTTTTACATTAATTAAAATATTCTATCAAAAAATATTTTCTCATATCAAATTCATGCAGCTTGCATTTTTTTTTTCTTTGATTAAGCCCTGATTATCACTCATCATAGTATAAAAAACTTGATATGTTTTTCCTATTTTGTATTTTACTGTGCATTGTCATACAATTCTTTTAAAAGTCCACCTTGTGGCAGTGCCTTAATTATTAAAACCCATTGTAAATAAAAATGCCAAGCATGAGGTGTAAGTATTTTTTTTTCTTTCTTTCATACAACCAACCTGCTTTTTACTTGTAAGTTATATGGGTTTATTTCTTTTTTTTCTATTTTTTTTTTAATAACATCTTTTTTTTCGTATGATATTATATAATATTATTTTTCATGGATAAATAACATGAAAAAAAAATTTTCTTATTTACTAAATGTAAATAAAATATAAAATATGTATTTGTATTAAAAATGATAGTAATGATGAAAAAAAATTTCTATGAAAGAATTTAAAAAGGGTATATAAAAAAAGTACTGCCTGTTCAATTATTCACTTTCTAACAGAATTCTGCTAAAATCTCAACAATTACCTACGTACATGATTCTACAGAACGTCTGGCTCAAGATTACATGGTCAAAGAAATCATAGCAGTTTCAAGAACTGATGATAATGATGTGACCAAGGTCATTTCAAGGCTTTTATTCCATCTGACTGAAATATATCAACCCAAATTGACAATTTTGAAACATCATATTTTTAAAAAAGAAAGTTTGTGGGATGTTCTGGGTGACTATCCAAATTTTTCAACATGTGAATGATTATCTCTTCCTTTGCTGATTTCACCTCTTAATAATGAAGATAGATAGGCAACAGGAACTTCAGAATTTCCTCAGGTAAAGGAGAGAAGGGAAGGAAACCTGGTAGTAGATTTCTTACATGCTTCATAGGTAGGAACTCTTAAATTGTGAATGTTTGGGTTGAAGGACAAGAAAATGTTGAGTATGTGTAGTTGTAAAGGGTAAGTAATTGATGGTCGTGATATACAGTAATCAAGAAGCTTTTTCAGGAATTTATTGATTTTTACGTCTTAAACATAATAAACAATAAGTAATGACTCTAATATTATAATTGTCTATTGCTTACAATCTTTATTTCTATTATTTTCAATTTTTATTTTCGATTTGTCTCATAAAAACTTATTATTACAAATTATATATACTCTAATAAATTTGATTTTTTTTAATATACTCATTTTATTACTAATAAATTAAAATAAATCAAATAATGCACTACCTCTGACATAAATTGTCGATCCACAACTTTTTTTATTAATACTTTCATATTAAATTTTCGTAACCTTCCTAGTATAATGTGCGTGACGTGAGTACTGGTGATAAAGTACTGGGTAGTTAATTATATGGATTGGCAATCCAAATTAGAATCTACAAATTTTAATATTTATATCATATCTTTCTCAATACGTACTGACAATATTTAAGTAAAAAAAAATTTTACATAATAAAATTTTTTTTATTGACGCTAGATCTGTGGTACAAACAATAAAAAATGAAAAATACAATAAAAATAACAAAACCGAAAATACAAAACAAAAATACAATAAAACAAAACTCTTTTTTGAAATTTGCGTAAAAATCCTTTAACGTTAATAAATGATAATAAAAGAGGGTAAAAGATCAAACTTTAATGAACCTAAATATTTAAAAAATTTTCATCAATAATGATTATATGTCACGTGAATTAAATCTCATTGGATCGCTAGTGTAGATCATCATGTGGGATCGAAATTTTAGCTGGCCATGCCTTCTTTCAGCAAATGGTATTATTTCCTAATGGGAGTAAGACCAAATTTATTTAATAAATCATTACTCATTAAACCTTGAGGGTCAAATCTACTGATTTGTTGAATAAATAATTCAACAGCATCTTGATCAAAAGAATGAAGAAGATATTCCCGATCTAGTTCCGGGTCTAAATATTGCCCCCAATGAAATCTAGCATTATATTTTAAAGCTGTAGCAAATATTGGTTTATAAACTTTTTCATAATAAGCAATTTCCGTGTTCTAGAATATATAATTATCAGATAAGTATAAAGAAAATTATAAATCACTTTACAAAAAAACGATACCTGATACTTACATATACTAGGATCGGCATTTCAACATAGCATCTTGGTTCATCATTCGTATTATAACCCATAGACATATACTGAGGAGAAGCGGCACTAAATCTTACGGCAATGGGACCGTTAATATTATAATTAAAATTAGTTCTTATTTCTTGTAGTGTTTCCCTTATAGCATCAATGGCCTTAATATGATTATCATCTTTCATTGAGAATGAACATTCCATAGCAATAACTTTGAAATCATTAACAAATCCAACCGAATAAATCAAATTATAATCATCAACTATAGGAACACTATTATATTGAGTTTTTAAAGCATCTTCTATCATTGAAGGAACAATCCCTGGAAATAAATTTAATAATAGAAATAATATATGACCAACATCAACACTTAATTTAGTAGCAAGTTCTTTAATCATTGGAATTTCTGAAACTTCTTGTAACCAATGCTTTAGAGGCGATTTAGGATAACGTTGTTCATCATCTTTTGTAGCAAATTTTCTTCTTGTTATAAGAGCATAATGTGTATAGGGGCTAATCCATACTTCTGCGTTACGATATTTTAAAATATCATTTTCGTTGTAAGGTTGTTTTGATAAGATAGGCTTAACATCTTCCCAAGTTGATTCCTCCCTCATCGAAAGTATTTTGTAAAATGGTATTGAACTGATGGTTACCTGATATACGACCCCCATCGCTCCTAAATTTACTACGCTTGCATTAAACACATTATCTTCTTGAATTAGTTGAATATCTGGATGTTGCTTTGAAAATGATTCAGGATCCGTGATTCCATTTGCTGGTTCGATTCTATAAATTGTCCCTCCTGGTACAACAAGATTAACTGCGACTACAAAAGATGCTAAAGGTTGAAGCATAATTCCACATCCATGTGTAGATGTTGCATTACATCCAACTACTGATAGGCCATCAAATCCAGGTAAAATATATAAAGCTCTTTCATCCTTTTTTAATTCATTCACAATTTCAGCAAGAGTAGTTCCACATTTCACATCATAATAAATATTATCTTTGTTTTCTTCCTTCAATATATTTGAATCCGTTTTGGTCACCCCACGATAATTATTGGTGTATAGAAGAAATCCGTTAGTTTCAGTAATCTCACTATAAAAAATGGACGGGTTAAAATATAATTATTGTAAAAATTGAAAGAAAAGAAGTAATTTTGATATTTTACTTGAACGCTTCAAAAGTTCCTACAGCCTTAACAGGTTTCTTTTTACTACCAGATTGTTTCATAATTTCTACGAGACTTTCCAATGATGTGATTTCTTCAACGTCAGCTTTGAACTTTATATTACCAAGTTTATTCGTCACTACCTCTAAATTCGAAAATTTAGAAATTAACTTAACCATTGGTGCGACAGAATAATTATACAACTTCTTGAGAAAGTCATCATAAGAAGCTTTAATAAAAAAACTTGGTCGTGATTTGCCGTATTTATCGAGATTGTGTCGATGAGCATTCTTAACCAATGATTCTATTTAAACGGTATATGATTTTTTTTAAAAAAAATTGAAAATAAAAAAAAAAAAGATTTTCTTTATTGCATATGCCATATGATTATATGATACCTAATTTCCTTTTATTCTCATCTTTTTCTTCATAAATTTTCGATAATTCTTTTAAATCCTCCCCATTATAAAAATTTTCAGCTTCAGGTATCTGTTTGTTAAAAGAAAAAAATTCACTAAATCATTCTCATATGTTCATATATTATTACTTTACGAAAAAAATCAGACATTTTTTTAGTATTTGAATAAAAAAAGAAAAAAACCTACCATTTTTTCTATTCAATTACACACAAAAGTGTCGACTTGAATTTTTCGGCTGATCTTTTAGCTTAAAAAATTGTTTGTTTATTGCGTGATCATTGATCAGCCTGTGCTACATGCAGATTTGATTGAGTTAATTTCACAAATATGAAATTTCATATGAAATTTCAATCTTACTCATTAAGATTAGCCTAAATGAACACACAAGGTAATGCATAATACATGCATTTATGTCATTTTAATACTAAAAAAAGTAATAAGTGTATCATAAAATTTAAGCCAACAAATTAATATACATATTGTGTCACAAATTAATATAAATTGTGTCACAAAATTTATTAAATTTAGCGCCATTAAATTTCTACCAAAATTACGAAATTTAATAAATTTTCGCTGCGAAATTAATGAATGAAATTTAATAAACAATGCTAAATCACTATTTATATCAGTAAGTTTTCTATTTTTGCAAATATATATATATTTATATATCACATTTTTGGAATAATTTTAGCTTGTGATTAAATGTTCCTCTGTAGAATTTTTTACACCCCATTCGCCTGATCTAAAAACGCATTAAATCATACACAAACATCATTTTCTTTTAATACAATCTATAAACGCAAATTAATTTTAAAGAAATCGAAATAAAAAATATTTTTTTTTTTTTTATCTTAAAAGAAATCATCTCTTAATTGGATGGGTTTAAAGTTGAATAGAGGAGAAAATTTTAGAAATCACGACCACTTTATCTCATTATTCTATTATGTACATCGAAATCCTATTCTAATATTTATAATTAGTCATTATTTTTTACAATTTTTCAAGCGAATCTAGACCTCCAATTATATTAACCATACTTATACTGACTTGATTTTAATATTTTTGTGAATCTTTATCTTTAGAAAAACAAAACTTTAAAAAAAATGAAAATCAAGTAGAGTATTTGTTATTTAAATAAATAAATAAAAAACTTCAAAAAACGGGGGAGTGTTAGAAGCTACTAAAAAAAAACAGGATAAAAAACCATGGATTAAAACAAAAGTTTTACGAAAAATAAATAGAAAGAAAATATTTTTTAAAAAAAAAAATAAACGAAGAAACTTTTTAGAAAGGGAGAGCCTGACGAAAATAAATTTTTTTTTAAAAAAAAAAGGAGGGAAAACAAAAAAAAAAAAAGAAAAAAATTTTTTTAAAAATAAACGCGGGAGTGGGGAAATAATTTTATAATTTTTTTAAAAAGGAGTGCAGATAAGATTATTTTATTAAAAAAAAAAAAGAACGGAGGGGTGAATAATAAAATTTTAAAAAAAAACTTTTAAACGAAAAATAAACGAAGAAACAAGGAAATAAAGTTTTTAAAAAAACTAAAGACTTTTTAAAGAAAAAACATTTTCTAATATGTTTTCCATTTTCTTTATTTATTTTTGACTGTACTTATACTTCCTGATTTTACAATTTTCACTTCTGCAAATAGATAATTCGATTGAATTATTTATTCCGAATTTCACACGTACATAACTTAACTAATTTATTCAGTCAAGAATGACAATATTAAATTCAGTAGTTATCGTTCTACATTATTTTAACTATACAAGAAATTAAATAGTCTGAATAAAAATGGGGATGAGATAAAATGTGTCCCAACTTTAGAATTACGGTAAACATAATAATTTCTTCTTAAATTTTTATATTCTGTATTAAAAAATATTAAAAATACCAAAAATGGTTTGGTACGAAATCTCGAAAATCATTTGAGTGACTGACACAAGACCGACAACAAAATCTCGAAAATCCAATATCTTGACAAGTCAAAATCCTGACAAGTCAAAATCCCGACAAAATTATAACACACTTAAACTAAATATTACATATTGCAAAAATTATTTTATTAGAACACACATCACAAAATTGTCGATATAATGACTCGTCGGGATTTTGGATTGCCGAGATTTTGGATTGTCGAGATTTTGTTTTCGATCTTGTGTTAGTCGTGCAAGTGACTGTCGAGATTTTGATCGGATACCATTAAAAATAATTACATATAATCGTTTCATTTGTTATTTATGATTAATAAATTAATAAATCTTCGGGCTTATTTTATAACAAGCTCGAAGAAAAATTCCATATTAATATCCAGCTTTATCTTAGAGTGATTTAGAAACAAGGTAAAGTATGGTTATAACGTCACTACTTTAATAATATTTTTAATTGTCTTTTATAACAGCTCGATTAACGATGTTCAAATCCACAAAAGAGATAACCACCTAAGCAACGACAGTGCGCTTATTACATGCAAGACAAGTCAGAAGACTAGAGTCCTTCTTTCATTTTTAAATTCTGCAAATATACTAGGCTTCGTGCAAATGTTAATATAAACGAAATAAAGAAAGAAAATGCAAATTCTAAAACAAAAGAAACTATACTAATAAGAATTAAAGAGTTAAAGGGAGTTTCCTTGCGGTGAACGCAGTATACAATTCCACTGCACTCACCCCTGCATTATTCTTATTTCTATTTACTAGGGTTACTACAGATGTCGTGCTTTGTAACGGCAAAATTGAAGAAAATTTTGGCCAGAACTATAAAAATCTTAATTTCTGTTAGATGCGGATGGTGTTGAAATATTTTACTGCAAAATAATCTTTTGAATTTCGGATTTGTCGATGAGAAGGTGACATTCGAATTTTGATATTTTGATATTTTAAATTTTGTGATATTATCCAGGAAATTTTGAAAATCCTTATTGAAACAGTCGCTTCTTATTTTCCTAAAATAAGACTATAACTATTATAGGGCGACAAAAAGTGGTAAAAATAGTTTACATATTATCTCAGCGGTCGGATTAGTAAATCGTGATTCTAAAATTTTTTTTTTATATTTATATATATATTGGCTAGTAAAATGATGATATTTAATATCATGTGATAGTTTGCAAAAAAAAAGTTTGATCCAGTACAGAAAGTTAATGAGTCATAAACGTCATAAGTCTATAGATTTACGAGTTCATACATTCTTTTTAGGATATAATAATATTTACCACAAATTAATTATATTAATAAGAATTGCGCTGTAACAAAAAATTTTTAACATATGAAATGGGTGGCCGGGTCGTGAAGCACAAAATGTTAAATATTAAATTTATTGATTGAGAATTTTTGTTTAAAATAAAAATTTGAGTAGCCGTGTCATACAAATTCAATTTTAGATCCCTTTGCTGGTTAATTTTAATAATTTTTTTTAGCATGTAATAATTTTTTTATAAAAATTTAAATTTAAATTCGATATAGTGAATTTTCAGAATATCGAACTTTTTCGCTGTATTAGACAACAGATAAGCCGGTTACTTTTAGTGAACTGATCGAACTTCACTACCAATTAGAAGCATGAATTTTAAATTCTGGTCAAAATTAAATAAAAAAAAATTATTTAGAAACTAAGTATTTCTTAACTTCTGTATATTGAAAAGCTAATTAGGCCATGTGATTGTGATCGTATGGGTATTGAGTGTAATGCAAAACGCTTTAAACGAAATTTTAAATCATGGACTAGTGGTAATAATCATATTGATAAACTTATTCGAGTTAATCAGTTATCGTTATCATATTGTTATCTAAGTAATGTGATGGAATGGATACCTTAAGATAGACTTTATAATATTAAATACATTGTATCTGGAAAAGTGTATAGGGCAAATTGGATTGATGGATATATACGTTATTGGGACCATAAAAATCAAAATTGGAAAAGAATAAGTCAAAATATGTTTGTAATTCTGAAAATTTCGAATAATCTAGCAAATATTACATCAGTATATATAAATAAGGTATAAAAAAAATTATTATTTAATGAAACTTTGAAAGATTTAGGTCTTACTAATATACTTTATGTATATATATTACATTTGCAGATTGCAATGAACAACGAAGTTTATGGAATAACCCAAAATCCAAAAACAAAATGTTATATGGTGGTCCTGAATGTAAATATGCTATTATATATGTATTGCAAAACATTTTCAACAAAATTTTGAGAATTGGACTAGTGGTAATAATGTTATTGATAAATTCATATAAGATGCTCAGCTAAATTTTGGCTATGAAAATTCAATTCATCATAGGCAAATAAAAGGCGGCCTTTTTTATCTTTTTTTGGATCAAATCGACCAACAAATTGAAAAAATTCCGTTGGTATTGTATGTCAATGTCTTATGACCACATTTATCGATATGCCACAAAGCATCTGATAATTCTCTAACAAATCTTTTTCCTATAGGTATAGCATCATAAGACCATCCACCTCTATGAAATGATATGTAAGAAATAATGTCTAGTTTTAATTGCGTGATCATTTGTTTTTGGACTTTGTGAAAAATCAAAAATAGGTAAATGACGTTCTTTAATAGCATTTTTTACATTTTTTAATATATCAAACGCGTTAACTGGTTGTGAATTATTTTCATCCGAAAAAAGTTTTATGTGAAATGTAAAAAGATTACCAAATATATTAATAACATCATTAGCTATACATTCTAGTTCAATTTCATCACCAGTTTGTTTTTTTGATACTGAACAGCGTACTATTATCTTTTCTATTACTTTTTCTTTTAGCTGCGGAACATAGTTTTATTGTTTTCCACAAAAACAACGTTATGTGGCTATGTAAATTTCTTGCTTTTGTGGCAGGCATATTTTCTTTGTGTAAAAAATCAAAATCAAAGTATGTGAGAAAGAGTGAAACGTTACTTATGATATAATATTGTTGATCATCTAATCAATAAATGGCAAATTAAAATTTAACAAATAAAAATAGAAAATAAATATATATAATCTTGGTTTCTAATATAAAGACTTTTTATAAAATATTTATTATCTTAAATAATATATTTTATGTTAATAATAAAAGTTATAAAGTGAAACGTTTGAGGAGTGTGAAAAATTAGTACAGTGTGTTGCAAAAAAAAAACGGAATTAAAAAATCGGCCATAACACCATGACGATCTCACCAAATTATACGTAAAATAGCTTATTTGAAAGATGGAAACCCATAGATTTTATCAATAATAAATTAATATGGAATTTATTTTAGTGATTTTTCTATGTATAAAACCAAAATAATTTTTATTTAACGCAAATATTAATTTGGCCATAACTCGTGGATTACCTAAAATTAGTTCGGATTACTTCGGCCATTAGTTTTAAAACTGTTAAACTATAACCTATAAAAGTTTCAAGTTCCGGTCAAACCTTCTGTGGTTTCGACCGAAGCTTTAAAGTCACATATCACCAAATTACTATATGATCGGCAAATGATCGGCAAGGTGATGTAAAGCATGTCCCCCTGTTGGTTTTGGCGAAATAAATTGATTAATTTTAAAAACCTATATTTATTATATAAATTATTACAATATAATTGCAAATATAATTTCGGCCATAACTTTTGTGTTACCTAAAATTTCACTGTGTTATTTCGGCTAATAATTTTAAAGCTGTTAAACTACTATAACCCATAAAAGTTTCAAGTTTCGCCCGAAGCCTTAAAGTCCAATATCACCAAATTACTATATAATCAGCAAATGATCGGCAAGGTGATATAAGGATGTCCTGTTCAGTAAACCAAGGTAAAACCTTCATCGGCGAAATCTGCGGACTCTAACTGGTCTCTAGTTGAGTTTTGCACAAATAGTAAGTTACTTCTTCCAATGTACCGTGCGGACTATTATGATTTGGATTAATTTGAAAATGGCGAGAACAATCAAATTTACTGTTTTGATGACATACAAATAGAGTAAACATGCAGATCAACGCACAATGCATTTTTGTCCTTCAATAAAGTACTTTTAAGTAGTGTTCCAATCCGATTAACCGCTATCCGGATTTTTTGACGGATATCCGGATATTGGCGGTTATACGGATAACGGATAAATTAACGGATCGGATCACACGGATGACGGATAATAACGGATCGGATTTCTCGGATGACGGATAATGACGGATTTATAATGATTCGATCCGCCAAATCACGTGACGTTACACAATTCCAAAAAAGGAAATTTGATTTGGGAATTCTTGTTGTACAAGGATCCAAAAAAGGAAATTCCGGTGCCGATCAGTTAATACCGGCTGGAATTATATCTTATACAAATTTTAATGGTATTAACGGATAATCCGGATAATCCGGATGATACTTATGCGGATATTCCGGATGACGGATTTCTAATCGGATCGGATAAACGGATGGCGGATTCTAATCGGATCGGATAAAGATATCCTCGGATTGGAACACTACTTTTAAATAAAAATCGAATTTTCCGTAGTACTATGGCGAATTCACCTTCTATTTAGCAGTTCATTATATAAAAATATAAATATGTTGAATTTTCCATACTCGTTCATACTGTAATATTATAAAATGGAGCTTGTAAAATTAAATGATGAAAATTCTTTTGATCCAACACCAAAATTAAAATCTAGTCCCGTATCAATTTCTTTTGTTTCTTTTAATGAGAATGATAAAAATTGTATTCATTGTGGAGAAGAATACACAGAGACGATTATTAGATACCAAAAGTATTGCAAAAAATGTTTATCGTGTTATTTAACTAATATAACCGATAATAATATATACCTGGACGTATATTTATTCGCAAAGGACTTAGAATGTAATGAACATGAAATAAGTAGAACAAAGGTACCACGAAATATTCAAGAATGCTGTAGAAATTGCCTGATAATATTATGTTTTAAACAAATAATTTGGTTTTCTTATCCTAATTATCCGGATCTGAGAATTTTATATGAAAACGTGATTGAAAGTGAAAGATATTGTAAACTATGTGGAAAATTATTATATCAAGGAACAGAACATGATTTTATTAATAATTTTATATTATGTTCAAATTGTTATCTAATATCTATCGGTTATATAGAATCAACCTTAACTGAAAAACTTATTTCAATCATTTATTTACCATGGTGGGACGATAGAAGTACTTGTTATTGTCATGAACGACTAATATTTACATCAAATTGTCAAAAGTATTGTGAGAATTGTTACATATTTTTTATTGGGTGTAGATATTGTTTAACAACAAATATTATTTTTGGAATTGCAAATCAATCGCAATGTAAAAAATGCAAAACAGTATCAATTATTATACTAGATAACAAAAAGATTATTAGTTTTAACTGTGGGAACAATGTTTTAGATGATTTTCTTGTTAGTATAAGATCATATCAATCGGAAATAACTAAATTTACTGACGTTATAAAAAATATTGATAAGTATTTCGTTCCAAACAAAATAATACATGATAACTTTGAAAGCAATTACATTTTCCCAAGAAAATTCATGAAATATATGCCATTTTCTCAATTTACGAATATAAAAAAAATAGCAGTAGGGGGATTTAGTATAGTATATCAAGCAACTTTGTTAGATAGTAATAAAACTATCATTTTAAAAAGATTTAAAAATACTCAATACGCTGAAGAATATTTTTTGAGAGAGGTAAATACTTTAAATGTTAAAAAAATTCGTATTTATTTTATAAAAATTTTAATTTTAATCTTGAAATTTTTAGCTGAAGTCGTATCATGATAGTTATGCAGATAACGAAGATTATGGTAATCCTATGGTGATTGAAACTTATGGTTTTACAAAAGATCCTCAATTAAATGGATTGGATAGTTATATATTAGTTATGGAATATGCTTCAGGAGGAAATTTACATGAGTATCTACAAAAGAACTTTACAAGAATTGGTTGGCAAGAAAAATTAGATATACTATTTAATATTATAAATGGGTATCTATATTTTAATTATATTAGTAAATAATTAATTTATAACACAAATTTATTAATTATTATTATTTTAGACTTCAGGGTATTCATAATAAAGAATTCATACATCGAGATTTTCACAGTGGAAATTTGTTGGTAAATTTGACAGCTGATTATTATCGCAATTGTAAAATCGGAGATCTAGGATTATCACGACCTGCAAATGACACCTCAACGGATAATGAAATTTATGGGGTGATACCTTATATTGCACCAGAAATATTTAAAGGGTCTGCATTTTCTAAAGAATCTGATATTTATAGTCTGGGTATGATTATGTGGGAACTTACAACAGGTTGTAAACCTTTTGCTAACGTTGAACATGATATTTATCTAATTATCAAAATTATTGATGGTGCGCGACCTGAAATTACAGAAGATACACCAGAATGTTATACTAATTTAATGAAAAGTTGTTGGGATTCTGATCCCAAAAGAAGACCTTCTATAAGTGTCATTAGAGATATTTGTTTTAAATTGTTTTGTCAATTATTCAATTCTACTAATCGATCATTTGATCAAGCTGATTTAAAAAGTAATACGTTAATAGATTCAAAGAAGCTTGGTCTTAAGTTTAGTGAAAAAACTCATCCAAAGGCTATTTATACAAGTAGATCATTAAACTCTTACATTTCTAAATGTTCATCTATATTTTCTAAATGTTCATCTATCAAATTTTCATCAAATGGTATGTATTATATTATGGATAAATCTAATTGTAACAGCCTGTTACGCGTCTTATTTGTAACAACCCCCAATTTTATCCAATTAAAATTTAAGATCAGGCGTAATGTAAACAAAAACAAAAGATCAGTTGTGTAAAAAATTTCAAGAAACTGCTTATAACTTAAAATTTTGTCTATGAAACTGTCTTAAGTACATTAAGTAAAAGTTTTCCAAATTAAATTTTGCATATAAAAATTTTATTCGTGAAACACATATTAAATTTATTATTAAAAAAAAATAAAAAAAGGATGTTACAAATAAGATATGTAACAGGCTGTTACAAATACATTTTTTCTTATATTATTTTAATTAAAGTAATCTTTTGGATAAATAAATTAATTTTTTTTTTTTTTTCATAGATTACATTTCAAAAGAATTAAAATTTGACATAGATGCTGAGAGGTACTTTAAAGTTAAAAATATTTGTTATTTATAATTTAAATCTAACAACGGAATCTACAATTTTATATTAGCAATAGACTCGACTCATTTGTAATTAAGCGAAATATTGAAGAATCAAATATTAATTCTTGTGAAAATAATGGTAAATATTTTATTTAATTAAATGTTACCAAGATTTATTTATATTTTTACTTATTTTTATAATTTAAAATAGGAAAACGCATTAAAAATTAGTTCCAATTATTCAAGAAACCCTAAAAAAAAAACAATAATAAATGGGTGAAATTTTTCGTATAAATATAATAGTATATTTCTATATTTAATATTTTATCTATGTATATTTTTTTTATTATGCAAAATTATTCGATTAACTTTGGTGAAATGACTCATTTTTACAAAGTGAGAATTAAGACTCCATAAGGCGCAGTTGAAAGGTTAAAACCATAACTGATAAATAGATATAAAACCCTTAACGGTCAAAAGGACTTAGCCGGATAATTAAATCATAACTTGAACCGATTGACAAATTTCCGAAAGAGTTGTCTCGTGTATAGAATTTAGACTTAATCATAAAGGCGCAGGATTTTGTAAAGCGTGCTAGATTTATATAATAAACTTTATGAAGAAATTCATGGTGTTTTGTTTAAAAATTTCTAATTTTAAAGTAAATTAATGCCAATATTTGCGATTATATACATATGTCGTGCCGGCCTACATTATGCCAATATTATCGCATGATTTGGGCAGCATTAACATTAACTAGGCCAGCCGACGTCAGACTATTATATATAGGTATTCTATCTGCTGTGCATCGGTCAGTAATTTTTTTACCTCTTTGCCTAATCTCTTTGAAGAAATAGTGGATTATTCTAATTCACTTCTCAATTGCTCATTTTCGTTCACAAGCTTATTACACGTATCATGTAATTTTTTACATTTTTCAATTAGAAAGAGACTATTGTCTATGGCGATTTCTAATTTTTGTGTCTGAGAAAGATCCTCACTACGGGATTGTTTCGTTTTAGTAGAGTATCTATCATGGACTGCCTAGTTTCTTTCCCTTACCTATCGTAGTCTCGTAGATGAATCCCATATAGTATATACATTTTCCATTTACGGTATATAATTGTTAACATGTAAAGTAAATACTAATATATCATCATATTTCGCCAAATTTTTTATTATCAATAATATGTTATACCACACTGATAATACTAATAATACTGATATTTGGATCGATAATATCAATAATATCAATACTCACGTCATGCATCCACCAGTTCACTATGTTATTTAATTTGTTATTCCGAACCTTGTCAGTTTTTTCACCTTTAATATATTTAATGTCGTCATCTGTAAATGTTCCGATGAATGAGGCGGTAAATGTGGTCAAACGTATTTTTTTCATAACTAACAACAGAAAAAATTTCTTGCGGTCCTAATTCTCTTTTTAATGACACTCGGAGAGAAATCATTTAACTTCTTTTTAATCTTCTTGCTCAAAATGTTACGTGAACTTTTGGTTGGATGTATTTCTTTAATTCCTCGAGTCTCGTAGACATAACTTATCCAAACTTGTAATAACACCTGATTACTTCTTATTTCGAAGAAGTTCACGGCCTTTGTTTTTTGAGCAAGCTTCAGCTCGATCTATTTTCTTATTCAAGATGCGATACTCGACTGCATCTGAGCTCTACTCACGAAGTGAATTCGTGATACAACTGCAAGTTTACTTGGAATGACAAAAGAAAGTTTAAATATCATTTTCGACTTATTTTACAAAAACTCTTTTTTCGTTAAATCCTTCTTCTGCAAAGACGATAAAAATTAGTTTTTACATACTTGAATCAAAACTAGTATTAAAATTTCTTTTGAATTCGATGTAAACTTTTAGAGCAGTTAAAGATACTTCCGTTAAAAGCTAGGAAAAAGGATTAATTTTTTTGAAAGGTGATATCATAAGGAAGTTTTTAGGTGGGTCGGTCCATGTAATTCCACGTGGGTTTGCTCAGAAATACGTGGAATTCCACACATTCCCAATATCCTACATGGATCCACACCGAATTTAGTGGATTTATGCCGAAAATACCACGTGTTTCGTCACAGGGTATTCGGAAAATACTGGAACTATTTAGATTTCCACATATTTCCACAGTATTTGATGTGGATTTCCATGTGGATTTTAAACGGAAAAAAATTCCTGATACGTACTGCACGTCGATCTTAGGGGTGCATACAAACAATTTCTGATTGAATTTTCTTGGCGCTTGTTTTATATAAAATATGAATGAAAAGAAATACAGTATATGATTAGTACTAAAAATTAAGTTTCGGTCACTTTCTATATAAGAAATCAGACAAATAATATCTAAACATGATATTTTAACAATTAAAACTATTTTTTTTATATAATTAATATTGAATATTTATTGTAACACTCTGTTTATTTTGTCGAATGATTTTATTTATATTAGATTATCTTTTTTTTAATTCTATCGCTAATATGAAACGTCGCAAAAAAAAAATTACATAATACTTTTTTTTTTGGAAATTATGATTCGGACTCAATGAAGTTCACGTTATATTTGAAGGTAAAAAAATATTTTTTATTTTATATATTATTTATTCATTGTTTCAAAATGATACTAATATAATAAATATGAAACATTATTAATACAATTATAAATAGTCACGTAAGCGCAAATTAACTGAAAAAAGATATTAAAAGGCAAATGGTAATTCAAATATTTATCTTAAAATAGTAAATTTTATTGTACATCATACAATAGTTTATTAAAATTGCTCCTAATGTATCACAAAAAAAATATTATTTCAATTTAACCTAAGCCAGAATCGGTTAGATTAGGCACTTTAAAAGATGCGATTTTTTTTTTATTTTTTTATTTTATAGAATTTTCTTAATAAATTTTCAAAAGATAAAAATGAAATTAGGGAAATACCAACATTTGGAGATACAATTTATTGCATTAAAATATTGCGGACGATATTTATACATTTTATTATCACACCTAGATGATTGTGAACAGTGTTCATGATCTATGACTGCGGCTAATTATTCTTTCCGTTTATATCGTAGGACACTAACCACACATATTCGATATCACTCTTACTTAACTTCGAAATTGATAATGCGGAAAACTTGTCTGTTGTATCAATGACTCTACCATATTACTATCTCCACTTTATGCCATTAAACAATTTATAAATCCTTCGTACTTTTGCATTATTCTTTTTAAGTGAGTTCTCATTATTTTCTGAGAAAGCTGTTTCCTGACCTTCTCGTTAACGAGCATTTTTTTCTGTATAAATAAAATATATAGATTTTTTGCGGGTAAAGTCTCCATTGATATATTGAGAGCTATCATCATATTTTTGTAAATCTACATTTCTATAATTGCCGACTAAGATACATGTTCAAATTAGTAAAGCTATTCTACACATTCATCATTCCCCTTAGTAATTAAGTAATGTGAGTAAAATAGCAACAATGTATTACGAAAATTTATTTATTTCAATTTATGTACAATGATAAATGAAAAGTTGAATTTGTAATTTTGAAATAGGAATTTAAAATTGCATAAAAAATCTATAACCACTATACTAATTTACTATCTATCAACCTCTCTATCTACAATATAAAATAATTTATCAATCTCAATTGGGAAAGGGATAGGAGTAATAGTCTAGTAAGTTGATTCAGAAAGGCTAGCATAAATGATAAATAAGTTTTATGATAATATTTAGGCGTAAAGTTGCTATTATAGTTGGCATCCAAGTCATTTCACTAAAACCCATTTTTCTGAAGAAATTTCGCCAAAGACGCCATTTCGCCAACAAGCAATTTCCTGAATAGATATTTTCTCTAAATGGTTATTTTGCTGAAAGTTATTTTGCCAAACCAATTCAGTGAAGGGACATTTGCCAAAGATATAGAACTTCTTAAATTTCCTTTTTTTTAAAAGAAAATGAATTATTTATACGTTATATTAACTCATTTTTTTTTATTAATTTTATTTGATTTGAAGTTTAAAAAAGATAATGGAATCATCATACTCAATTTTCTTTAAACAAGCGAAAAAAGAGAATTTATTTTTGACCATTTACTATTTTCTTTGTATTAAATTATTTTTAATTAACTAGTATTTTAAGCAAAATGTCCTCCAACAAAATAGATAATTCAGATGAGGAGGAGTCAACGAAATGCCCATTTAGCACATTTGATGAAATGTCTCTTCTGCAAAACTTCCAAAACTTCCCTTTAGCGAAATGACTTTGGAAAATAAGTTTCTTCGAAACAGACTTATGTTAAATGTACCATAATAATTATAATTTATAAGAAATAATGAAATAAAAATATTGTATAAACGAACATTACTATTCAATACTAATTATTATACTTGTATTTAAAAGTATTTATTTTATTGCAAAAATTGTAAATTACATACATAATATAAATATTTTCTATATAATAAGTAATAACTGATAAATAATCCAACAAATAAACAAAAATATTAATCTTCAATTGCACAATCATAACCCTGAGTAGACTCTTCTTGAACTGAATATTCTTGAACTAAGATTTCAGTAAGTTTGCGACTTGTATAATATACTTGTGAATGAGATTGCATAATAGAAGTATTTGCTTGTAGATGAGATTGCATAATAGAAGTATTTACTTGTTCTTGTACTGAAGTTTTGTCTGCTACTACAAGTTCAAACATATCATTTGTTAATTGATTATTAATTGCATGTACTCTAAATTGATAATTTCCATTCCTGTTTAATCTATAATATTCATTAATACATTCAATCCATTCAGATATAGTATTTACAAGCATCATTATGGTTGGTCTATTAGAAGGGTTTGAATCCCAGCATTTTTCATTTAAATCTATATAACAATTTGGAGTACTTTTCATAATTTTAGGACGTTCTCCATTACAAATACTCAAAATCAGATCATGATCATGTGCTTCATGATTAAATGGGGGAATACCTGATGTAAATTCCCACATTATCATTGAAAAACTATAGATATCACTTGCTTGAGTATAGGGATTACTTCTTAATATTTCAGGCGCCATATAAGGTAAAACTCCATATATTTCATTATCAGAATCCTGTAAATCACTTATAGGTTTACATAATCCTAAATCAATAATAAATACCTCATTGTAATTATCTGATATTAAAATATTACCATCATGGAAATCACCATGAGCTAAATTTGATTCATGAATTACTTTAAGTCCTGATACAATATTTTTTAACAATTGTAACCTGTCTTGCCACTTAAATTTAACTATATCAGACAAACGCTTTCTCAAACTTCCTTTTTTTGCATAACTCATTACGATCATATAATTTAAATTATTTGGATCTTGAGTAATTTCAAAGAATTGAATAAATTTTGAAATGACTTTTTTTGACAATTATAATGATATTTCCACTATATAGATAATAAAAAAATTATTAAATTTTTTTGCAAAAGAAAATAAAATTTGCTATTAAAATAAATACTATACCTCATCCAGAAATTTACTATTCAAACTTGATGTAACTCAAGAATGTCGCAATTTTTTTTTAAAAAAATTATACTAAAATATAACTTTGAATAACCTAATTAATGTGTTGAAGAAAAAATTTACTGCGCACATCAAAAATAATTGTAGACAAAGGCTATTAATATTCGGTAGAGGTGTGTCGGTCGTTACAGACGTTACACGCCTGTATTTTCATACGTTAAAAATAACATCAAATCAGATCTTTGTTTTTGATTCTCACGTTTGCCCCAAAAAAATTTAAAGCTCGTCTGTTATAAATTGTACCAAAATGAAATTGGTGCTATTAAATTAATTAATTAAACTGAACATCTTTTAATAAATAGCGGCCGTTAAGTCGTAACTTAAGAAGAAATTAATGATTTCTTAATAGATTGTGTTCTTAGAATCACTACCTCGTGATATTATCGGATCAGCTGATGTTCCTTCCAATATATAAGATCATTTAGACAATACATCATCTTCTAATGATGATATCAGAAAATAATGAAAATGATGGGAAGAGTCATAAGTTGGATGATGATTGTGGAGGTGTAGATGGTGGAGTTCGTTCAATTGGAATAGTATTGATTTCATATTTATTAATTATAATAATAGATTGCGCTACGGAGCCTACAATTTTATTTGGACGGTAAGATAATTTGTAAGATTTGGAGAACATCTAGTGCGTTTCGTACATATATTTTTAGTAATTTTTTGTTATGTAATTCCAACATGCTTAATAGAATTTTATATAAACTCAACATTACTGCATATATTTCTGGAAAATTTTACTTAATTAATTATTTATTTATTTAAAAATTGATTTTTTTTCATAGATTATCGTAGTATTATCATCATTCCACGGTACAAAATACGCCTTTCAATGAGTCGGTACTCAATAATCATCCTTAGCGACTTGCGTGACAAAGATTGAGCTAGCATTCTTGAAATTGTGTTGGTACGTTTAGTACAATTTAAATTTAGCAAATTTGTAATATTCTTAATACTGTGCTATCTTTATGTCATTAGGAAGGAGCCAGCAAAAATGTTAATCCAATGCCTCATCAAGACGTGATTGAGCAATCGTTATGATACTATTTATCAACGACTGATAGTTCATTACAGAAAAAATATCAGGAAATCATTCGAATATTTCAATAATATTTAAAGACCTTTGTAACAGTTTAATAATTATTATTTACATTAAAAATATCTGATATACGTACGTTAATTAGTAAGAAATTAGACTTATAAATCACTTTATAGGAGTGTTTAGATTTGTTAGGACTTAGGACACTTATTATTCATAATAAAGAATCATATTAGTTACTTTAATGGATAAAGCAACAATTTATTATTATAATCTGATAAACAAATAAGACTAGGAAAACGGAAACTGTTTAAGTCCTTCGCATTGCATAACTCGCAAATGTTACGTGACCTACGCGTCATTTATTTATTTGGCATATTTCAGGGGTCAAATAGGTACTAGTGTTACATAAATCGTGATACACATTCAAAAAAAGGAAATAAAATTGTTGATTGTGACAGGGACAAAAACGGGGGTAAAACAAATTTTGCTAGTTCGGTACTTCAGTACAGTAAATAGTCCTTCGCTAACGCTTCGGACAATTAAATTGAATTTATACAAGTTTATCAAAAAGTTCTATTAATAAAGTGATTAAGTTTAATACTGTGATTAATAAATGAACGAATAATAATATGTAATATACTTTAAGGATAATTGTCTAACTAAGTTTGCAAATAGAGATATAAACTTGGAATAGAATTAAAAATTAAAAATTTATTAATTGTAAATCTTTTTTTAAATTATTATCGTTAAGAATTAAACTAAAATTTATAACACTTTCAAATATTTTTGCGATGAGATCGACTCAAGACGACTCACATTTTTAAGTCGTCAACTGAACGGAGGGTAAAGAAGCAAGAATCTTTTTTTGTTCAGTCGAAAACTTCATTCATTCAAAATCACTATTTTTTTTTTGGAAATCTTGGACTAAATAATAAAATTTTTTTAAACCAAAAATTAATAAAAAAATGAATATCATTATCCCGTTTTAATTAAAATCTGTGGCCACAAAAAATATTCCATTTATATTATAGTTAATTGTCATTTTTTCAATTAAAAAAAAAATGAGGTAAATAAATAAATCTATTAAATTTTATCTTCTATGTTTGTCGTTTGTGAGTAATAATGAAGTAGGTGAATATTCATAATTAACTCTGTATGAATCATTGGATTAATCATGATGATAAAATGACTCAATAAATTATTTAAATAGACTTATAAAAAATTTTTAATAATCAGTTTTAATATTTGATTATTTTTCGTTGCAACTTAAAGGTAGGTATAGTCTATATAACAAATAAAATACTGCAGAAAAGGACCTCGGTTTATGAGTTTGGGTATTTTAAAGTTTTACTTATTAATACAATCCCAAGGCGTAATGATAATTTAGAAAACATACAGTACTTCATCGATTAGGATTATTATATAAATCAACTTTATTCTTTATTAATTTGTTTTATTACAGAAAAACAATCATTTGTTGACATTTCAAATTATAATTTCAATACCGTATTATAGCCAAGTATTATTTCGATTTTTTTTTCGCGAGTTCGAAGTTTTCATCATTTGACTAGTGACGTAAAATTTTGATAATCTCACGTGATTAATGATTAATTACTCATGCGAAAAAAAATCATAAATCATTCCATTACTTTTACGAAAAATTCTTTCTCTCTCTTTTTTTTTTAAAAAAAAAACAAAAAATTCGTGAAAACATGGAAAAGAAAGAAAGTTATGAAATATCAGAAGATAATCCACTCTTGGTAAATTTTTAACAAATAATAATATTATTATATATTTAAAAGTTTTTATTATACATGTGAATTATTACTTATAAATTTTGATTTTTTTTTACATAGAAAACATTAGTAGTTTCTACCAAAGACTCTTCTTCCGAAGATATTCAACAAAATCAATCACTTTGCAAGATTTCTTCCTCTTCTTCACGTTCATCAAAATTTTCTAATAATATCGATAAAAAAATATTACAAAACGAAAGAAACGAAAGGAAAAGAATGCTTAACAGAAAGGCTGCCGCAAGATTAAGACAAAAAAAAAAGAAAGAGATAAAAGAATTACAAGATTCAAATATAGGTTTAAGAGATGAAATTGAGCAAGTGGAAAGTATTATAATGAAATTAAGACAACAAATTATGGATCTGGAAATAAAGGAGGAATAATTTTTATTTTTTAATATATATAATATAAATTTGCTAATATTATCATATTGAAATATTATAACTTGATATCAATTATTAACATGCATTCCGGGAATTGGGAATTAATTTTATAGAGAACGAATTATTATATTTTTATAATTAGGCAAATTTAACTTTATATATAATTACGCTAGCATAGTATTTTTTGTATATTTAAATCTTATTATAAATAAAATTTTCGCCAATATAGCTATAAAATTATTTTCAATATGCAAGAATATCGGTTTTAATTTTTTAATTCATGTAGGGTAATTTTAAAATCTACTGATCAAAATTCTATTTTAATAAAAAATGCAGAGCTATCGGACCTTTGTTGTTCAATATCTTTATCATTATCTGATATAATTTTTACCTAACCAATTATATTTTATTGTCCTGAGCGAAGAGAGATCAAAAAATTTGTGGTCACGGTCCACCCACGTGATCGTCAGCCAATAAAATTGACTCCCGTTTCCTAAGTTATACAATTTAGCCTTTATTATTTATCTTCATTATATTTCACCAATTTTTAACAAGCTATTATTTAAGCTTAAGACAAAAATATTAATAAGCTTATTTGAAAATGAGAACGAATAATTCTATCTGCACAATACGTAGAAATCAGAGTATTATTCACAGTATGACGTTATAATCTATTAGAGCGAGATGTTAGCAATCTGAAATGCGAATACAGTACATCGCTAATTAAATATTGTAATTAGTTATTAACACTTTATAATAATTATTCTGGAAATAATCCATTCTGGAATCTGGAAATAATCAATTAATTTCTCATATCAGTTTTCTAGAAATAATCGATTGAGTGAAATATCTCTTCGTCAATTTCATTTAAATTATTCTAGGATTACACCTTTTTAATTTATAATTTACTGCGCCTGCAATAAATCATAGAATGTTTCAGAGATTTTTTTTAGTTTTCTATTATTCCCTTCCACAAAGTATCGACTACAGTCTTAGCCTCAAAAGTATAAATTATTTTCATTTAAATAATAATAAAAAAATTAATTCTTAAATTATTTTTATATTTTGTTGTTTTAACCAATATTTATCTATCAAATAAGGATTTATTAAACGAAAAAACTTTATTACATTATGTCATTATCTAAACATTTATTTTGTGATTATTAGCATTATATAGCCGAATTATTGAACGATTAAAATAGCATTTGGAATTATTTTTTTTTAAAAGATTTAACGCATGATTCCAGAAACAACTTTCTTGTACAATCACAATAAAATCAAATAGACTAACCGTTTCTTAACAGTTGTTTCATTTTTAATTAGGATTTTTTTTTCTTTATAAGCTTAAGAATATATACAGTAATGTATTACATCATGACATAATATAAATATACGGTACGATTAATATTTTACGTACGAGCAGGTACGATGTTGTCACGGGATATTTTTTTTATTTTTATTTTTTTATTTTTATTATTTTTATTTTTATTTTATTCTATTTTTATCTTTTTGTTATTTTTGTTATTTTTAGTTATATTACTTGTAGTCGTTTTTAGTTGTTTATAGATTAGATAAAAAGCGGAAGCTTAGCGATATAAAGTGGCTGAATATAAGTGGCTGTATAGACAAATGTGCCCAGATCGCCACAATTGGCCGGGAGACGATTATGTCCGAAGGACAGAATCGTCCTAAAAATTTAATGTTATATAAAGGACCGGTGTTGAAATATAGAAGTTCTAGTTCAGTTAGAATTCGTCTAGTTTTTGTTATAAGATAGATATCGGGATATTACAGAGCGCCGGCTGAGGCAGTAATATCGTATTCTTTTATTAACGAATAAACCTGTCGATTTGCTTCCGAATTATTTATATACGTTTTATTACATTTTATTATATTGTCTATTATTGTTTCATATCATTTATTATCATTATATTTTATTATTATTTATTTCTTTTTCATTATACATCGTTGATTATCCGTATCCATTATATTATCGACTGTTAATATATACACGTTTACCTTATCATTAGTTATTTATCGCCATATTACCCTACCACTAACACACCGATCCTTATTCTTCTTTCTGTTACTACCTACCAAACGTCATAAATCGGTGGTAACAATGTCAATCATGCTAAAATTAGAAAATTATTAAATATTGATGATGATAGAATTGAATAAGACAATCAAAGTAAGGAAAAATGGTTCAAAAAAAATTAATATAAGCATTTAGAGAAGTTAAAGTTTCAACTTCGAAAAAATGAATTGACTTAAAAGAATGCAACTTAAAAAAAATAGAGTTGGAGTTGAACAAGTATTAATAAATAATTTAACTATACCAAGTTTTAGAAACTTTTTTGATAAAAATAATGGTAATTTTGTATTTGACAATTAGATAGCAAATTTTTGCATGCTTACATGCTTAAAATTATAATATCATTTGTAATAAAGTCAAATAAATAAAGTTTCAATTCATTATTTCATCACAGATGAAAATGATCAACATTTTTAACATTTGTAAAGAGAACTTTATACTAAAAGTTTAATACATTTATAAATCATTCAAATATAAACATGTAAATATTATATATTTATAATATATTATATAAATTTCGTATGGTGGTAATACGATATGATCAGTCAATGGATGATATCATAACTGTAATTGTCGGAACGTAACTATTTTAATAATACTGAAAGTTTGATCACCCTTTTAAATGAAAAAAAATTTTGTTTCTTTTAAAAAAAATTTTTTTAAGTCATAATTTGGTTTTTAACATAACAAAATTAATAATATGCGAATAGCGAATAAGTAAAGGAATGAAAATGTAAAAACATCTGATAAGTGAAATATAAATCTTGTAAACTGAAGTTCATCAAACTTTAGATAATGATTAAATAGGACCCCGGACAATTATAATTAAGGTCATATCTTCTATGCTAAAAATTTACCCTTGTCATCCTGAACTTACTTTTAAAGCTATAGATACAAAACTTTGTAATAATAATTGCCCTCCTATTATCTATAATTTTGTTACTTAAAAAGTAATATTTAATAATAGTAATTTTTATTTTTTTGTATATTTCTATGTATACCGATGGTGAAAAAGCGTATATTTTTTTTGCCAAATTTTGCCTGTGTAACGATACTTATCTCAAATCTAATCAGTAGATTTACAAGATTTTGGTATCAAAAGATTCTTCTCTTCAAAAGAAACATTTTTTTCTATGGTAAAAAATAATATTAACTTAATAAAATTACATGTTAAAAGAAAAATAAAGTTTAAAACATAGTAAGATATGACCTCAATTATAATTATCCGGGGTCCTGATTAAATACTACGTTAATATTTAGATTCGCATATAATCATATATTTTGTCAAAAGGACTGTCTGAATTTTTTGGAATAACTTACTAGTATTTGAACCAGGAGTTTCTAGTAAAAATTGAACTTATGATAACAACATAACGAAACTACTCTATCAAGCTCCATAATGTTCGTTTTTACGTTATTTGCTAGTACTGCACGTACTATTATTATCTAAAAAATTTATCTTTTGTTACAGATTTTAAAGTTTTAATTCTTTCGGAAAAGTATATAGCACAAATCACGGATTTAGTCTAAAAGAGTAATTCTCAATGCCGAATTATTTTGCCTTTAGAAGTGTGGAATTCCAAAAAATTCAGATCTTTTCGGCAACATTAAAAATTGCACTTAACAATTAGTAAATAAAAACAGTTGTCAACAAAAAATATTATTTATTTATTCATTATGAATCCGTTTTAAATAAGCTATTAATGACCACCCTATAAAAAATGTTTGTCTGATAAATATTCGGAATGGGGTCAATTATCCGAACACTCACACGTTATTATACAATATTTGTTACAATTTAATACAAGATGCAGAGATTGAGAATTTTCGACCACATAAAAAACGTACAATATCATGATAATTGTCCAATAAATGTCAAGTAAATGTTCGGAACGGGGTCAATTTTCCGAACAAAAAACCGAACAGCGTTTGGACAACTTTTTTTATAGGGCCAATATCAGCAAACAATGCTATTACTTTAATATACAATACTTTAATAAAATAAATAAGCAAAATACTGTTATAGAATTTATTTCATTTATTTCATTTGTTTTTTTTTTAACATTTAAACAAAAATATTCTCAATTTACTTTGCATGAATTTGTTCTAATTTATTTTGAGCATATTGATTTCCTTGTAATGCAGATTTTTTATACCAGTAAATTGCTTGATTTATGTCTTGAATAATTCCTTTTCCATTTTCATACATAAAAGCAAGATTATATTGAGCTGCAATATTTCCTAAATCTGCTGCCTTTTGATATAATTCAAATGCCCTTTTTTCATCAATATCAGTTCCAATTCCCCTCCTATAACAATCACCTAGATTACTTATTCCATATGCATTTCCTAAATCTGCTGCCCTTTGATATAATTCAAATGCCTTTTTTTCATCAATATCAGTTCCAATTCCCCTTCTATAACAATTACCTAGATTACTTATTCCATATGCATTTCCTAAATCTGCTGCCCTTTGATATGATTCAAATGCCTTTTTTCCATCAATATCAGTTCCAATTCCTTCTCTGTAATATTTACCTAGATTATTTATTCCACCTGCATTTCCTAAATCAGCTGCCTTTTGATATAATTCAAATGCCTTTTTTTCATCAATATCAACTCCAATTCCTTTTATATAACAATTACCTAAACTATTTATTCCATTTGCATTTCCTAAATCTGCTGCCTTTTGATATAATTCAAATGCCTTTTTTTCATCAATATCAGTTCCAATTCCTTGTTTATAACAATATCCTAAATTAAATATTCCACCTGCATTTTCTAAATCAGCTGCCTTTTGATATAATTCAAATGCCTTTTTTTCATCAATATTAATTCCTAATCCTTTTTGATAACAAACTCCTAAACGGTTTATTCCTTTTGAATATTCTCTTTCAGCTAATTT